TTGATGGTAATTGATATGGAGTTTAATCGATCCATCTTTGTTTGCGTACTCAATCGAGATGAACTCGGTCGGTTTAATAATCAGCTTTGCTTTCACCTATATGAGGTTAACATCATTGGTCTTCAGTTGAGGAATTCTTCATCACAAGTTGTCAATAGCAACGACGTTCAGCCAATTCATATTAAGAATAATGTCAATTTCCTTGCAGGGTATTCCAACGAGATTTTGTAAGGAATTGTCGATTAACGAATGATTTTGATTCACGCAATATAATCGCATATTATGTTGTAATGAAACAGATATCAGAATGGGATACTCTAGATAAAAAAATTTGACTAATTCTAAACGTTCGTTTGAATCGGTGACCAGGTTATGTTGAGTCCAAATGAGGATCTTCAGCACTGGATTCATAAGTGTTGTTCGTAAAATCAACATTAATCGTTTCTTCAGAGTTGTCTCACTTTCGTACGTCCTTTCGATGCAGATCAGTTTCGTTACTCATGATGCGACGCGTACGTTGATAACGTATTAGAGGTCGTATTTTTTTTATTCTTTCGTCTCTTCACCGAGTACGAAAATTCAACTTGAGTCTATGCTCGATATGATTTCAGCACTAACAAATGTTATCTAATGAGAATTCAATATAGTCAATATTTACTAAGTAAATTCTCATACCTTTATTGGAGCAGAGGGATGCGAGAGTCGTGGATGTGACCAACATTTTTTTTATAAATCAAATTTTGATCCGAAGATCGGTTTTAAAACCATTTGCTCTGATACCAAATTGTAACACCCTAATCCGTCCAGGTCTGCAGCCCCTTTCGGACTAAAGTATTTAACTTGGTAATTGTAAAAATTTAAAACTTTTCAAACAACTTTATTTATCACAATAGTATTTTTCATAACATATACAATACGGAGTATTCAATAATATTGCGGAATCGAATTTAATATTGACACATCATAAATCATTTCAAACTTGTCACATCCATCCCGACAATCTCGCCTCATCTGCCGCCAGGATTACATTGGTCTTTCTATTTTACCTGCGTGTAGCAAATAAAACACACTACACGTTCAGCAGTAAAGCTGAGTAAGCATATCTAATGCATCGAACATCCATATAAACTGAATCTAAAATCATAATCAAATCATTTGATATCATGCACACAATGTTCATTTCAGACATTCACAGTTTTGGTATTGTTCAGTTCATATCAACACATTTTATTCAATTCAGGTACTATTTCAATAGTGCTCTTAAATTATTCTTAATCTAAGGCCAAATAATAACAATGCTCTTAGCTATTCTTAGTCTAAGGCCAGTTCATAACAATGCTCTTAGCTATTCTTAGTCTAAGGCCAGATCATAATTTTCATAACCACATTCTTAAAAGGCAATTATTAATCAGACACTTAAACTATCATAAGTTTAAGGCAATTGATTTCGGACACTTAACTGTAGTCAGTTAAGGCAATCAGACACTTAAACTGTCATAAGTTTAAGGCAAATGATTTTGGACACTTAACTGTAGTCAGTTAAGGCAACAACAATATAGCGATTGATCAACATTGGATCGGACATTCCCAAACGAGTAATCCTCTAGCTTGGTCTACGAATCCCGTTTATGCATTTTTATCTAATTCATAGAATATTCATGTTTCACAAATCCATACTAATATGAGATCTATTCTAGAGGTCTTCTAGATAGCCTTAACATCATTTCTCTAAATGTGTATACCTTAGAGTTCTTCTAGATACCCTTAACACTACAAATCATTTCATAATTATAAATGTATTCATTTTACTCATGATTCAATCATAAATACTCATTTTAATCAGTAGGTTCATTACTCATACTCATCCATAATATTCATTTATCATAATTATCATAACAATTGATTACAAATAGCGACTTAGTTTCGAGTGTTAACACTGAACTTACCGTCATGCAACACATAACATTTTAAGTTTTTAAAAACATCATTTTTATTATGGTAAATCATTTTTATAATGATCATAATCCATTGGTATCAAAAATAGGATTTTTGAGCTCAAAAATAGCAATTTCAGACAAATTTTCGGATCAGAACTTCGGGGGATCGATCCAGCCCTCTGGATCGATCCATGATGTGAAAAACTACTCCTACAGGATCGATCCAAGGAAGTTTCAGGTTACTGTTCATCTTCTTCAACCTTCGGTTCCGTTTTCGGAAAAACCGTTTTTAGTCACTGAACTTCAACGAAACTATATAGAGATGTCCTCCAAGGTTTATAGATCATTTTGGCATCATTAATTCATAAATTTAACATCAATTTCATGGTTTATGATTCTTGGTTCTTCAAGCATGTCAAACACAAAACTCAACCAAATGACCATTTATGAACGTAGAAACGATCTATACGAACATTCTAGTCACTAGATATATCTACGGGCTTACCTCGAAGCTTATCGAAGGTTTTGAGAATTTTCTAGCGAAACTTCTGGCGATGATTACTCCCAATTCTGGCGACTTCGACGGCAACCAACAACACCATACTACTCTCCTTACTCTTATGAACACAATGGTATATATTTCTAGAAAATTGGTGAAGAATTGGTAAGGATTGGATATCCTTATATAGGAGAAGAGAAGGGGAAGAAGACATTGGTAGCTGACTCATTTCTACGTAGAAATTCCTTAGTGCGCAAGACGGCGATTCTAATTGATCTACACGCCGTTCCCTGATTGGGACCAATTTGGTTCCAGTTGGGGTACACTTTTTGGTCCAACTTTCTCCGAATTGAATTCCGTTTGCACTGTTGCGATCAGACAGTTAAACTCTATCCAACGATATAATTTTTATATTTATTTGTAACACTTTTTCCGACATCATATTTTTGGGTGCTTGACTTTGACAGAGCCAAAATTGATTTAATTGACTTTTACCATAAAAGGTTCTCACATCTAATTCATATCATTTATTCTCATGATTTATTTCAATAAATCATTTTAAAGTTCACATCATAACTAATTTCTTCATTTATTCTTGATTTCGGTTTGTACTCATGTTCCCAATCAAGACCACACAAATAATCAATATATAGGATTTATCTTTATGAGATTTATCTTGACTATGATATTGGATATCAAGACATATTTTGTATCGGCCCAAAGCCCAATAACGATTTATTTTAATCAAAACAAATTTGTTTAATCGAATAATTATTTATTAAAATTTAATTTCTAGGGTATGTTTTGGGGCGTTACATAGACTTTCTCGTGAAGTGTGCCATTCAGGAAAGCATTCTTGACATCTAGCTGATGAATAGACCAACCCCAGCTGAGTGCAAGTGTGAGAACAATGCGTACCGTTGCAAGTTTGACAACTAGACTGAAGATCTCGTCGTATTCGATTCCAAAGCGCTGATTATATCCACGGACCACCCATCGAGCTTTGTACCTGGACAGTTCACATGTAGGGCCAAATTTGTGCCGAAAAAGCCACTTCCCGGTGATAATATTTTGGGTGGGGGAGGGGGGTACTAATTCCCATGTTTCACTTTTTATCAAAGCATTAAATTCATTACACATAGCATTATACCAGTTTTGGTCCTTAAGTGCACTACGATAAGTGGGTGGGATGGGAGAAATTTGGGCCATGGAGTTAAGGTTGAGAATGTGTTTGGGTTTGGATATTCCGACTTTGGACCAGGTTACCATGGGGTGGGTAGTGGGGATGGTGGGCTGATTGGGCCGAGGCATGGGGGGTTATTTGGGTCGGCAGTGGGTAGGCTGGACGGGAGGAGGGGCTGGGCCGAAGA